GTGTGTGTGTGTGTGTGTGTGTGTGTGTGTGTGTGTGTGTGTGTGTGGGCGTGTGGGCGTGTGTGCGCGTGTGTGGGTGTGTGTGTGGGTTGTGTGTGGATGTGTGTGCGTGCGCGTGTGTATGCGCATGTGCGTGTGCGTTTGCGTGAGCTTGAGCGGGTGCGCGAGCGCGTGCTTCTTTGTGTCTTTGCGCGCGTGCGTGCGTGCGTGACTGCTTTTGTGTGTTTGTGCTTTTGAGGATGTGGTGTGAGTGAATGTAGTATAAGGGAAGATAATTAATTATCGTAATTATACTTTCTGTTTGGTGGTAATCGAGTTCCATTAGCCAGGACTCAATCAGACACTTCACCTCCTGTAGACATCGTTTTAATCTGGGGGAAATTTCGACATACAATGTTCCCAAGATGAGTTCTGAAATAAGATGGCTATATCATCAGCGTAATAAACAACATCAGCTCCAGCTATTCATAGTTCTAGGATGTCCCTCATGTATATAATATAAAGAGTTGGACCCAAGATACTTCCCTGAGGCACGCCAAACTTTACAGCCAGCTGGTCACTCATCTTCAAGCCGATTTTAACACATTGACTTCTATCCGTTAAGTAGTAAATCAATTGTGTGCTACTGTTCTGATACCTACTCGGATTAGTTTCTGTAAAAGTATTGGAATGCAGACAGTGTCAAATGCCTTAGTGAGATCAAGGAACACCCCAAGACATCTTATGTTGACATATATAAATCAGACGTTACATGTATATGATGCATTTCGACGTTGAAAACATAAATATGTTATTGTCTTTGTTTAACTATTGCGTGCCGTCTTAAGCCAAAAGAGATAGCATTACACTGGTCTGTGTCAAACATGAGAATCAAAAACACGTAACGTCATCTTAAATGTCAACTGTGTCCATTTCGCAGTACATGAGGTACATGATACGGTTGTCAAAGGCAAGTACATCAAATGTCAAAACAAATGTTTTTCCAAGTGTTTTATTGAATTATTCGCATGTATTGTAATAAAATGGACAAAAATATAAGACAGTGAGAACAATTAAGTATTAATAAAAATTCGTCGCTGCAGCATTACGGGATGTGGCATTTGAAAAAGCGAAGTTCGACCGAATGTAACATTGTACAGGCACGTGCTATTTTCCTGTCTATAAATCACACAAAAGCTCAAATACCTCATGTAATTAGACATATTTAATTAGTTATTCATAAATCTTGCCAAGTTTTGCTTTGGTTTCTTCAGATTGCCTGTTTGTTTGTATATTTTGATGATTGTTGTTAAGGATTATTTTGAGATAGTGTTGTTCTTGGAAGCGTACATATTATCGATATTCTGTTATTAAAATAATTCATCACGAGGCTTTTGTTATTTTATTATAATTGTTTTTACTATTTCAAGTTTACCTACAAATCAAAAAAGAAAGAGAATGGTTAGAAATCATACCGCCGCATAATAGTGCCGAATATAAACATTGAATCAAAGACCATTTTCATTTATTCGCTTCATTTTGAAGAGTCAAATTTTAACATAATTTTGAATGTAACTAGATTACATGATAATGCAATTCCATCGTTAGGTGTATTGGTAAACATTTTTATATTTAATTTAGATTAAACAAGACTCATTTACTAGGCATTCTCAGTTCCTGAAAACAAAATTATCCACTCGTTTCCGATTTTTTCCCACTGACTCTCTAACTCTAACTACTACAAATTCTTATTTTATAAAGGCAGCAATACAATGACCATGTTGGTTCAACGTTGCCGAGTGAAGGCCAATACCAACGTATAGACAGCCTATTTGCCTTGCCTTGCCTTGCCATCGTTTGGTGTCACTCGCCTAGCTGACCGAGTGAAGGTGAGCGCTAACGTGTTCGTTTGACGCATAGAGCTATAATTACTATGGAGGCGGTCCTAACAATATATAGAATTTTTAGTTATACAAATACAATGCATTTCGACGACATTGCAAAAAGACATATATTTGCCTCTTTTTTTCTTGTAGACATTTACATTTGACGAAAGATATAAACATATTTCTATAATGCATAATTATGGCAACAATCGCCAACGCGCTTTGACATTTGTAGGTGCGTGCCACAATCCGCCATTTTACGCGACAGTTTCGTGGTAGTTCTGCTGTCAGATGGTTGTTTTTATTTTAGAAAATTGCGATTTCCCAAGTTCTAACTAGTGTTTAAACTCTCAAATTACGTAGGAGTGTGGAGAATCTACAGACCAAGATGCCTGTCTGTTGCATTTTAAAGTGTAGTTCGCGGAAAAGCAAAAATCAGCCTCGATTGACGCATCACAGGTTTGTACTTCGATTTCAAGTAATAGCTCATAAAATCATACAAATGTTAACGTAAAACTAATCACAACTATCAATTTATGTTTAAAGTATATGTATCTATTATTATTTTTGTAATAAAACTACTATCTATCTTTATTTTGCTGTTATTTGTTTTCCTAGTAAAATAGGGTTGTGCTTCAATCAAAAATAAGCTTTAAGAAATATGTTCAAAGTATAATAATATCTTTTACAGATTTCCAAAGAACGAAGGATTGAGAAGGAAGTGGTTAGAGGCTGTTGGCGAGGAAAATATTAACCCTCGGCACAAAGAGTGGTATCTTTGTTCTTTGCATTTTGAAGAAAGCTGCTTCAATAGAACTCTTGATGTCACAAGATTACGTGATTATGCAGTCCCTTCAATATTTCCAGTAAGTAACCTTTAAATGATATGAATTTTATGATATTCCTTTTAGAATAGGGTAATTATGTAGATTTACAACAAAAAATACTTTCCAATTTATTTTATTATATTTGGAAATATTTCTATTAAATACATAGCATTTAAAATACTTACCTCTTTATAAAGTGAGCCAAGATCACATTGAGCTTTTTTTCTCGGCTGTAAGAGCAAGAGGTGGTTTCAATAACAACCCTGATGCCATACAATTTCGAGCAGCTTATAAAAAACTGTTAGTGAGAGCTGAAATCCGGGATGGTGGAATTGGGAATTGCACTCCATTGGAATAAATTTCTATATTGATGTGTAGCAGCAAAAATCCGATCACGGCTTTAAACGAACTAACAGAAAAAGAAAGTTATGCAGAAATCACGGAAGACGAGAGTGATTTATGTGAAACTTATTTAGAAACACTACTCGATGAAAATTATGAATACACAGACCGGCTCTTACAATATATAGCTGGGTTCGTAACCAGAAAGTTACTGCGCAGTATAAAATGCGAAGTATGCGTGTCCCTTTTACTTGGGAATGAAGACACGAATAGTCTTATTTATAAAAAATCAAGAGGAGGGCTTCGATATGCTTCTTATAGCGTGTAACAGAAATTATTCTACAAGCTGAAAAATTAATAAAAACCAATTTTGTACAGAAAGCCTAACTTGAAATATATGATCTCTATATTTTTAAATTTTTATGTGAAGTGTGTGATTTAAATAATTTTTTTCCAATTGATGTTGATCCTGATCATTCTAGTAACCACAAATTACTATTAATTAAATGTGTTATAAAGATTTTCCTCGATATAAGGTTTAGGTATTATGGACAAATGAAAAGTGAAAAACTGTCACAAAGACAATTTTTGAACAAATTAATATTGTTTAGAAACGAGTAATAAATTAAAATTATGTATAATATTTCATTGTTTTATTTTATTCCTCAATATTTTTATTATCTTGTCATGTTTAAATTAAATATGTCCTTTTCTCTTAATGTCCTTTTAATATGCACAATATTTGAGATACAAAATACTTATATCTTTTTATTACCTATAACTTAAAACTTAATAATAATAACGTTATATTTGCCATATAACTTTTTTCCATAGGGTTCGAGATGTTGCCGAAAATCGATACATATACTTAATCCGTTTTGTAGCTTGACATCCGACTTCCTATAATAATTATATTATAAGATTCTTTTTATCTTGGAATAATGCGAGCGAAGCCGTGGGCAATAGCTATACCTTGATATAGTAGGTAGTAGTACCTATTTAATTTACATCAAGAACTACTCTTGATCTGAGCTACTTAATTTGTTGCATTGGTCGCTTAAGCAGTTTATGTAGGTAATAGGCTGATGAAATGCTTTAATACCTACTGGTCTCAATATAAGTATATAATAAAAAATACTTCTATTTAGTACTTTCTTTGTCAATAACAACCTATTTTATCATGACATATTAAGCACCTAAAATAAAACTGGAGAATACTGTGGAGTTGACAACCCTAGGCAAAGGCAGCCATTTTTAGCGCACAGCAGTGGCACGATTTTTTTGTAGGTATTTCCTTTTTATTAGGTGTCCATATTGTTTAGTACGTCCATGGTTTGACGTGACTTGTCACAACTTGCAGTCGCTCGTGACTAGGTACTTGTCTCACGTCGTAGAAGTGTTGATTTTTCTGTACAAATCAAAGGCGCTCAGCCAATAGTAGTCAATTGACATCCCGTAGTCCAACTTACCAACACCGGTTAACGTCCTCTTAGAGCTTAGCGAAAATTTTTTTTTTGTTTCGTTTTTTTTTCTTTCAACCGTGACATTGGCAAAATCATCAGTTCTCATATTGATGGAGCCATAAAAATAAAAAGTGAAGTGAAGACATTGTATAATCAGACATTTGCATGCTTTTTAATACTTGCGAAACATGTTATTACTAACACTGTCTCTTGGTACATCTCCTGTTATACCATGTTTTAAGCAAATAAACGTGTGATAATAATATTATTATTGATAATATTACTGCTTTCACGTATGTTAGAGCGAGATGGGTAAACGAGACCACTTCATTATACGCTATGAGCCTGTACGAACCTAGGGTCAGCTGACAACGAAACAAATTTCGTTTATTTTTGAAAAATAATTGGTTTTATAACGTGAAATAGTGTTAGACGGACGTTTATTAGTCATGGTAACGTGTTCAGTGCCCGGATGTAACTCATCTAAAAAGGAAAACTCGCAGAATTGTACATTTCACATGTAAGTACTATTTAAATTTTTCGCTGTCTAAAAGCACTACCATAAAAATTTTTTACATAAATATATCCGTAAAATTATACCATTCAAGTGTATTAATAACTAAGTGAATAAATAAGTGAATTTCTGAAATTCATAACCCCACTTTCATAGAGATTGACGCAATCGATAATATGTTAACGAGATGTCACTAACTGAAAAAAAGAAAGGCAAAGGCGTGGCTTGCATACAGCCCAAATCATCTTCATACTTAATGTTATTGAATCAGAAATTTATGGTTTTAGTACTTTATATTTAATTAATATTGCATTAGTGCATTATTTTTTGTCTACAACATTAAAACGAAAATTTCTTTTAATAGCGTAGTTGAGGCACCCATTTTTTTTATTTAATTATTGTTGTTGATTCAGATTTCCTCAAAACATTGAAGTACGACGGAAATGGCTTATAATGCTAAACAGAGAAGACTGGGTTCCCAAAAAGTTTTCAAAAATATGCAGCAAACACTTTGAGGAAAAATGCTTTTCCTTTAGAGGCAAGCAAAGAGTAAAGCTACGTTCTGGTTCTGTACCCACATTATTCATGCCGGTATGTCTTACAATTAATGGATTTTTGTGTAGTACAGAACACAACTCTAACAACAACAAAATAGCGATTTGTTGTTGTTAGAGTTGTGTTCTGTTCCGAAATACGATACTCATATAGGATCACTTATGTGTCCATGTGTCCGTCTGTCACAGCCAATTTACTCCAAACCTACTGGACTGATTATTTTGGAATTTGGTACACATATGCATTTGTGTGACCAATACGTGTAACGTAAATAAATATATTCTGAATTTGAAGTCACTATTGGGAGGGAAAGTTCTCAAGTATATATTTTTTGTAATTTTGAAATATAAATATTTTTAAGTTGTTTAAGAAAATAGACGAGAATTGATTTCTCCCCTTTATCTTCGAAACTACTGAGCCTAAAGTTTTGAAAAAAATACAGAAATTCTTTAAATCTCTCACTATTGTGCGAATAAACCTATATTTGCTGTTGGAATCTATTGGAGAACATATTCTTCAACTGCAATGTTAAGTTTATACGGAAACCTCTTCACGCGAGTTCAACTCGTACTTGGCCGGTTTTTTGGTTCTATTACTTATCTGCAAATTGACTGCTGTGATGCACTTTTATGTCATCATATCATACAATAATCATAATGGTTATATTTGTTTGTAGGTTACATTGAAGCCAAGACGCAAGATATCTTCATATGTGTACAGAGATATATCGCCAGTACCCAGTAGCTCTATAGCAAACGATGTCTATCAAGATATATCCCCGAGGAAGAAAAAAAAGAAAACAATTGATCTTCTTAACAGGTGCCTAGATACGAAAAGAAAAAACCTTGAAAACGTAAGGGCACAAAAAACGGGCATGGCCTAAGTGGTAAAATTTAGTGAAGTGATGAAAAAATTTTTGTGTAGTACTACTCTCGTCAACAACAAATCAGCGATTTGTTGTTGATAGAGTTCTGTTCTGTTCATTCATTGCTCTGTTCATGCACGTTCATTCCGTAGTTAGGGCACCTCCTTTGTTTTATTTTTTTCCATCCTCTAAGCTTGGAGGTCACGCAACTAGGCTATAAACCATTAAAAAACAATTTGACTTGAGCCATCGTAGTGTAGACCATAGAATATTCCTTTATTTTTTTCGTCTGACAGAGAAATTTATAGACATTCCATCATGGAATTAATAAGTACTTCGTACAACTGGAAAGCTCACTGCAATTATTTTGACATATCAAAATGAACGTTAAATGAATAGCAATAAAATACTTTTTAAATAACCAATATCTCCTTAGAGATCTGAGCTCAAGTGAGACATCTTCTTTCTTGGTGTGTCCCTTTCGCACAATAGGGAATCGGACAATTTTTCAGAAAGTGTCTAGAATTAACTAAAATAGATATGTACAGCCATGAAAAATAATATTTTATTAAAATAAAGCTTAATAGTCTCTAAAATGTGCTAAAACTATGTTAAAATTTAAATAGAAACAAATTGGCGCGCAAACGTAACAAAATGTCAAATTGAACGCGTGACGTCATTTGTAGGTAAACAAGCTACGAAATCAAGGGCAAGGTGTTATTTTAAAGTTTTTGTGAAGTTTGAAGTCGTTATGGAACGGAAAACATATCGTTGGTGTGTAGTACCTAAATGTAAGAATACTTCTATAACTACCCCAAATAAACTATTTATTGATGTACCTCGAAAATCCGACATATGAAAAAAATGGTTGGTCCTAGCACGACGAAATGTCTGTAAATTCAGCAATATACTTTTGTGAGGATCACTTCGACGTAAGTACATTTATTAACACATGCTTCGATCTATGTATCACTCACTGCATAAAGTGTAATTATAATTACCTACCTATTTTAACAAATTACTGTGGTAATACGACACTAATTATTGTTGAGATTAATAAGATTTTTGTTCTGTTTGATTTTAATTAATTATTATTTGAATACCATTACCATATGTTAACAGGCATTTTTTTTGTACGTCAACAGCAGGTCAAGCTATACATTGATGGATCGTATTCCGTTGCACTGAGGGCGATATTCGAACAAAAATGTGAAGTCTGACGTGCCGTTGACTGTACATACTATGTCTTCGTTGTCATTGAGCCATTTTCTTTCAAATATGTCCAATGATATCCATGTAA